CCTCCGTCCCATATCCACATCTTCCTCACCAAACAGAGTGCTCGCATGTCGAATCTCTCTGACGCCCTTGAACATCGCTTCCAAAGAGCCCCAAATCACGTTGTCGGCTACAGGTGTAAACGAGGGGCCTCCTTTATTCAGGTTTGGCTCCTGTGTTTTCCCTTGTTTGTCTTCCCAGAGCTTCTTCTCCTTCACTAATGCTCTTTTGCCATCCTTCGTGATGAGTTCTATGGCCTGCTTCCAACCTTTCAATTGCTCGTCCAGTGTCATGGGACATCGCCAGAGGTGTTCTATGTCCTCCTGCTCCTGTTCACACATCCTGCAGATGTCAGTCTCATACAGGTCCGGTCGCCACTGCCTCATATAAGTGAGTGTAGGAAGCATACCATGGACCTTCTTTATTCTGTGCGCTCTCTTGTGACAATCTGCTGGGCTGGTGAAGAGGCCTCTAGGCGTGTTGCCATCGTGAAGAATATGCAGGCTTGCTTTCCATTCTACTTCTCGCCAGTCTGCAATATAATTCCTGACTCTGTTCTGAGACGCCCACAAGTAATGTGTTCTCACTGCTGATTGGAGTTTTAGCAGGTGTCTAAGATCATCCTCCACCACCTCGTTCTCGAAAATAGCGTGACAGCGCAGATCGTTGTGTTCCAGTCCTTTGATTGTCCACATTTCGCTAAAATGAGCATCTTTGGCGGCTTGGTCTGCCCTTATATTGCCTCTATTCCCAGCATGGCCCTTGACCCATTTCACAGTTACCTTCCCGCCCTGCTTAAAGAGCGCTCTCGAAATGGCTGCCTACCACACTGCGTACTTGGATCGCAATCGCTGCCGTTCAGTGCTTGCTTCTCGCTTTTGAGCAAGGTCCTTGAACTGAACCACTACCGCCATGTTGTCTATGTAGACAGTCGTTGGAACGTTACGGGGACTGACTAGAATGGCTGCGTACAGTCCTACTAGCTCTGCCTTGGTGGATGAAGCATACCCATCGACTCTACCTGAAACTACATTTGAGAAGCTTTCTGGGCCTATCTGAGCCACCACCCCGAAAGCCATCCGCGCCGCCCTTCTTCCTGCCTCTTCAAGGGACCCATCGGAGTAAAGTGTTAGCTGACTCATCGTTGATAGTTTCTCTCTTTGACGCAGTATATTGTCCATGTCAACCTGTGGGATCTCTACACCTAGGCACTCAGAGGAGCCAAACCACCGATGATGACCCTCTGGGATTTTATTATTCCTTGTTCTTGAGGAGTCCATCTCTTCTTGCGCTTTCGTCCTGAGCCTCCTATCGAGAGCTTGTTCGTCGAGTTCATGGCGTCCACGTATCTTGTTTCGCTCTTGTGCTCTACGTCTTGCTCGGTTGAAAGCCGCTCGTCGTCGCTGTTCTCTTCTTCCTTGTTCATCGAGCCTTTGAAACCTAGCCTGTAACCGTAGGCGTTCTTGACGGCGAGCTCTTTCGATAGCCTTCGAGTGTGCGGCTTCTTGCTTGGCTTGCACCCACTGTTCACGTCGCCACACTCTCCTTCTCTCCGCCTCTTCTTTTTTCCTCTCTTGCTCTATTTTTCTTAGCAACCATTGCTCCCTCTTCCCTCTTTCCAAACGGTCGCGAAATTGTAACATTTTCCTTCCTTGAGGATCTTTCCACAGCCTATGCCTCTCGTTAGCTTCGCGCTCTTTTTCTCTCAAACGCTCTCTTTTTTCAAAATTTTCTCGCAAGTATTCTTTTTGGAGTTCGCGATCAGACTCAGTGTATCCTTCATACTCCTGCATACCCTCTTGTATGTAACACTGTGCTCTTCTTTCTCTTTCCTCCCGCTGTTCTACACTTAGGGGATCAAGTGGCTCTCTGGGGTCTTCTTCCACGTCACTGAGGTAACTTATATATCCAACTTCATCATCCTCATCATCCTCAGTGGGCTGCTCCTCCAACATATTGTCTTCTGTGAGTAGTTCATCTGCTCTCTCATTGTTTTCAGCCTCATTTAGCTGTTGGAGCTCCCTTAAATCTCTCTCTTCCTCTTCGTCTAGTCTCTGAAGAATGTTCTTTTTGTCTCTACACCATACTTCGGTAAAGTTGTGTGTGTAAAGGGACTCATGAAGGGCATTTTGAACATTGTGGAACCATGCTGGAGATGCCTTTGGGTCTCTCCGAGTGTGGAAGGCTTTTTTTTTTTTTTTTTTTTTTTTTTTTTTGATAGCAAGGACCCTCAGGGTCATGGGCCGCTGAGTGCGGAAGGCCTCATCTGGTCCACTTCACCGGTCCGCATCTCTACTCCTTAATCTGTCACTCGATGTTGATGTCTTCCGTATTAAATAGTTTAGATCCAGTTCGATTTTGTCGTAGAGCATCTACTAGTGATCTCTGGAAACTAGTAGGTAATGATGAAAAATGAAGAATTGGGCAAGAGCCTCGTGGTTTTGGGATACGATAGTGATCCTAAGTAATGCTTTGAATGATTTTGAGGATGCTGCAAAAGGGCATCGATAATAAGAAGATTTTTTTTTTTTTTTTTTGATAACAAGGACCCACGAGGCATCGATAATAAGAAGAGAGATCTTTAATAACTGCTAATTTTCTGAGAATTCATAATGAGAATAATGAAGATAAACTCACCTGCAAAAGGGCATCGATAATAAGAAGAGAGATGCCGTTTTTGCAGTGAAGGAAAAAGCTTTTTTTTCTTTTTTTTTTTTTTTTTTTTTTCCTGTTAACAAGAACCCACAGAGGTGAGGAATTTTATTTCATAATCTCGCTCTAAAGTAATGATATCGCCCTCAACTATGAAACAAGCGAAACTCTCAAAGTTCGCACGGGATGGCTGTGAAGAGCCAATTCGTATCCATGTTTTTCTCTACCAATGTACACCGTGATCGGTACTCGAAGTCCATCCTTCCGATGTGGCCTGTTGCGCCCGTGAAAAGCCGCGGAGGCTGGCGTGCCGACTCTAGCTAAGGACGACTTTTAATTTTTTCTATTCGATCAAATCCACTGGCATGTGGACCCAAATCTTGCGGAATTGGTCTGAAATTTCTACTTTGGACTCCGTCAAACTTTGTGATCATCGCTGTCCTAGTCAAGTGGGTGGATGGGGGGATGTGCTGCCAGATGTACCGCTGGTTCGGCTGGGGGGTGGAATATAAACCTAAGACATGTGGCCAGCCAGGCGACTTAGGGTAGTGCACCCACGATCTTAGCCTTAGCGGAGAACACTAGGCTGTCTCGGAGAGAAAGTATAAAAACTCAAGCAAATCCCTGACCTGGCACATGTTTGCTTCACTTTATGTGCCTTAACCAGGACTCGAACCCGGCCCCTGGGCTAGACAGGGGGGTGCCCTGACGAGTATACTACTCAGCCATTGGGCTTGTTTGCTCTTGCAGTGAAGGAAAAAGCTACTTAAATACTATTTAAAAATGGTAGAAAATAGGATGATAGGAAATAAATAAATTGAAAGGAAATACATATTTAGGTAAATGAATAGGCGTCATTTACGACAATTTTCAGGCTCTTGTGGCGCAATTGGTTAGCGCGTCTGACTGTTAATCAGGAGGTTGGTGGTTCAAGCCCACCCAGGAGCGTACATTTTGCTGGTAGCATTTTATTCGGGGTGATGATATTTGCACGGCCCCGTACAAATAGTAATTTTTACCATTATTTGGCAGCCTATTTTTTGCGGCAGCAGCTGGGCTGCCAAATAATAAAGCTGTTTGCACGGGGGTTATTATCCCAGTTTTTTAATTAAAACCCGCCTTTAATTGGTGGGCTTCCTCTAAATAAAAATGTCAATAGACAGGAAGCATTAGGATCGCATAAATATGTTGATGTGCCTCACTGGATTGTAGCTGAATATCACGATCAAAAACAGGATTGTCCTCAGTAAACGAGATACGAGAGTTTTTACAGATATAATAAGAAATAGGCTAAATAACGCTAGGTAGGTTGCCAAATCATGAGGGTGTTCCTTGACAGCTGGGCTGCCAAAAAAAGTCTTCAAAGTTGACTATATTTGGCACTTGGATTGCCAATTAGATTAATCCAATATCTTTTTCCATGAAGGTTATTTGCACAGGAGACGGAAGTAGTGTAAATCAGTGTGTACGTTGGTCGTGCGGATAATTTTTTTAGATTATTACATGGGGGGGGGAGGGGGCATGCGAGTAAGGTGTGTAAGGACCATGCAGATGTCTTTTCTTCAAAGAATGAATTTACAAGAGACACGTTTTTCCACGATACAAAGCGCATTGTGGTGACATGAAGTAGATGAATCAAGAGAAAAAGAGCTCCAGAGAATGGGCACATACATAAACATACTCCTCAACTTCCTTCAGCTTCTCTCTTGTTCCCAACTTCTATCACTTACTTTCATTACTCCTTCCACTCGTGCTCCTTAATTGTATTCTTCCTTTAACATTTATTCTTTCACAAGAACGCTGTATCTCTAGTCATTCGTTCCTTCACTGCAAGATTGGTGGGGAGATGATCTTTACACATAGGAATGGCTAACCTATAGGAAATAGGATGTCCGAATAACAGATGGTATCAAGAAGGCGACGACACATCTCAAGCCAATCGAACCGAATCCTTCTACTCGAAAGGATGTGGATTTTGAAGCGGTATGGGTAGTACTTGAATCTTGGGGATCTATACTTTATCCTCTTCCCAAAGGACTCTGACACGTACAAAGTCCTATCATGGATGCATGGACGTAGAATGCTCCAGTTCTTTAAAATCCTAATAGAGCGATGGTTGCATAGGTTTTCTACTACATTCACTTGCTTCTTGTTCCTTTATGGGGACAAATATAGCGCATTTGCTTCGGACGATGAGTATTATGGGTCCGGCAACTATGATAGTGATGAACATCGATATCGATCAAGACTACACAGCATGCAGCTCGTAGGACTGCGGCATGTGTGGCAAATACGGTTACTAGTTTAAGTGATCCCGAGTAAAGGATGGCCACTAGTCGCTCTGCCCTTGAAATGTATGAATAAACTTCAACTGATCTTTTTATTTTAAAATCGGATACACGCGTGTATTTTCGCTAGTTTAATGTCCGTGCCGTGCCGCGGTTTGATGCTTTATTGCATTCTATCTGAAAGAAAAACGAGTGAAAAAATTATTCTTCGTCACCAAGGATGCAATGGCTCGATGGCTGGTTGAGTAGATAGCGGTTAGCCACCTCCTTGACATCATCGCTTGTAACTTTGAGAAGCTGTTCACGACGGCTGTTGTAAGAGAAAGAAAGAGAGAGTATCATTAGTCAAGTGTTCAGGAGGCATTTCCTTGTTATCTCGAGGGCCTTTTGTTTCATTCTTCTAAAACTTACTTTTGACGCATTTCATCTGTGATACCCTCCGAAAATATAATCATTCCTTCTTCAGCTGCACTGACAGGGGTATCCATGCGTTGGAAGATTGATAGCTTTGCTTCTGCCATCTCTTGATCAGAAAAGTCCTTACGATCCAGCACCCAACGAACAGAGTCTTCGTAAGTGCTTAGCGTCTTCTTGGGGCTAGGATCACGATAAGAATAGAATGAGAATAGACCGCCTGTAGAAGAGTAGCCGGCCCCACCACCATAGGCACCATTCTTTTCACGAATCTCACGATGCAGGAACAAGTTCGACATGAGTGAAGCAAGGATCTGAAGCTTTGCCCCATCCTCATGTGTGTAATGTACACCGCGCAGGCATTTTGCAGTGAAGTTGATACCATATGGTAATCCAAAGAAGGAATTTTCATACGATGGCGAGAATTCAAGCTAATAATTGACAATAAAATGGTGTTGATATTTTTTTTTTTTTTTTTTTTTTTTAAACACTTTAAATTAATCCATCTTACCTGGGAAAAAGATTTTACAGGGCTAGCATCAAGACGTGAAATAAATTGTCCGATAACTTTCTCATTGCTCGACATTTGATCATCTCCACAGGTAACGGCAAGTCTTAGGCTGGAACGCTTGATTGCCACGTTAGCAATCTCCTTTAAACGTTGCGATACTTCAGTGAGGTCATCCATTTGCGCAAGCGAATTCATGAATTGAACCTGAGTCATACCACCATAAATCTCAGAAGCATACTAGATAATAAAAACAACAGTATGCATTAGCTTCACATGTAAATATTTAACGCTCATACTATTATTTGTTTATATCCAAAATGACTTACGCCAGCAGGTGTCAAGCGCGAACCAGCATTGGTTCTAGCAAATGCATGTCCAGAGTCTGCAACGGAATTGGAGAGAGCCGAAGCATTCTACAAAAACAATTGAGGTCGATCGAATTAAATTCAGTGCAAAGCTTGAACAGATTTCTCTTTGATACACGCTCACGTACCCCTTTAATCAAAGTTCTGAGCTTGTCGGTATTGTCAAAGTTTGTTTCGCTAATGAGCGCGCCCATAAGATCGTACATACGATCTTGATTCCTGTCCAAGCAATAAGAGCTGAAGGACAGGCCCTCTTCAGTCCTGTCAATTGCTATATAGTTCATGATCATAGAAGGGAAATAAGTAAGGCAAAATGGCTTTAATAATCATGTACAATACCGCATCAGCTAGAATACAATCAAGCCAAGCAGAAGTATAACTTACTAGAATGATTCGTGGAAAGGAAAGGCGCAACACGGACTCCACCTGTGTGTAGCCTGATCTCGTCATCAATCTCACTCATTGCACGCTTATGCGTACCGAGAGATGTTAGAGAATCAGCGAAAAGCGGTAGATATTTCTTTAGGTCAGGGGTAAGTTCTGAGATGACACTGATCCCTCGGAAATAAGTGATACCGTTGGTTGAGGTGGGTCTCCATTGCACGGGGACGCTGTTTACGGCGCTATGTTCCAATGAAAAGATCTTTGTCTTCTTCGAAATATCATCTACTTTTAAAGTCGGAAGACATGAAACATCCTCAATCTTTTCTTGGTTCTTGAGCAATGCCTGGCCTTGCTCATAGATAGCCTCCTTGTCTGCCTTGGTTAGAACACTAGTCTTGCCCATAAGGCGCGTCATCTCGTTAGCTGCGACTTCTGCTCCATAGTCAGTGCTGGGAACCATAGTGAATACGAGTTTGTGTGGGTTATTCAACAAGTACTTGTTTATCAAGTTTTGGAAGAATGGACCAGATGAAATCTCGGATTTTAAACGATCAATGTTCTAGGGTACAAAAGGCTGCGTGTCAGTCTAGGCAGCGACTCTGAAAACAATACGCATTATATTTGTTATGTTTGCTAACCTTATTAAGCTCTAAAAGATCCAATGGATTACAGCCATTGAACCAGCCAGACGAAAGTCCTTGCATAAGACCCATTCCAAAAAAGGATGTTTTCTGTTAAAGAAGATAAAATTAATTGGTGTACTTTCCGAGTGGAAAAGAGCGTAAACAGCATTGACTCTATTTGAACCGATTTCATACATGTTTCTGTCCAAGCTCCATCTGGTGAACAATGGCTTCGACACGCTTGGGGTCGACGCCTTCTTCTCTGACTTTTTCAAGGACTGCGATGATGGTCTGTTCTACCTTGGGCACATTTTCTACTTTCATCCCTTGAACGCCAAATGACAGTGAGCTCATCATGGTTGACCCATCGTATCCAGTGTTCGAAGAGTATTCTGACCCCAAATCAGACTCGATTAGAGCTTTGTACATTGGTGAGGCATGGCCATCTGTAAGTAAATCTGAAAGGATTCTGAGGCCAAACCCTTCAAAAGTATCCTAAACCCAATAAACAAAAGTGTTCGTCAATTTTCCCCGTATATCTCACGGATGTTCTTCATTAGTATCGCATCGAGGAGATTTAAACGCGTACAGTAGCCTTATTTGCAAGAAAAGAAACTGACATCTTGGCTTGCTTTTCAGGGGGCGTCACTGAGAAAAAAAAAAAAAAAAAAAAAAAAAAAAAGTCAGTCAGATCAATATTCGAAAGGTTATGCAACACTCTATCCCATATACTTCTTCGGAATATTTGCGTACTAGGATCGACAGGGCAGGTTAGATTGATTCGCCGAGGGCTCTCGAAAGGCTTGACGACTTTATCGACGACTGGAGGCGTGATTGGAGAAAATTCATGTAGCTTTGAATTGATAGCCTCAAGCGTATCCTCCAAACGAAAATTGCCATAACTGTAGAATTTAGCGTTACTTGGATGATAGTGAGTTTTGTGGAATCGAACAAGTTCTTCGTGTGTCAGATCCGTGATATAAGCAGGGTCCCCTCCACTGTTATTAGCATAAGTCGTTCCAGGGAACATGAACTGCTGCATCTTTGACCAAAATAAATATCCTGAATCTGCCATCTGTCCCTTCATCTCATTATACACGATCCCTTTGAAAACAATCGGGGAACTCTTGTCTAGAATCAACCAGCCCATTGAGACAAATTTTACGGTTATTATCCAAAGTCAACTTTTGACACCGACAATATCCAATCTTTAAATAATAGACAAAACAAAAGTACCATTGGGGTCTTCATGTTCTAGCCTCCATCCTTCTTGCTTGAAATCCAGCTCCCTGAGATGCGGAAAGAATGCAGCGTCCATGTAAACGTCCCTCAAGTTCTTATAGTCAATGGGATTAGTTGTTGAAAACGGATACAAAGTGTAATCACTTGCTAGTCAATCGATATTTGAATATATTGTGCGTAAGCACGTCGATTCAAGCCCAATCAATATTAATGACAATCATTGAAATGAACTACAAACAAACCTGTGAAAGCATTCATAAACGTAGCCATGCTACGATTCAACATCTTGAAGAACGGGTCTCTCACTGGAAAAGATCGACTGCCACAGAGTGTCGTATGTTCGAGAATATGGGGAACACCCGTGCTATTTTCTGGAGGCGTGGCAAATCCGATGCCAAAGACGTTGTTGGAATCATCTCGGGAGATATGAAGATGCTCTGCTCCTGTTTTCTCATGCCTTAGCCGAATAGCGTCGAGTTCCAGCTCCTTAATGTGTCGAGTCTATCTCCGATTAACAAAATAGGTCAAATTTCCAGTATTTCTGTATAATGCGCATATTGATGGGATGGCATGATACAGCATCGGGTTTAATTAGACATGTCAACCATACCTCGAGCACTTTATATCCACACAGTGTTTTTCCAGGCTTCCATGTCTCTATAGTGCACAAATAAGCAACATCTCACAAGCGTCAGTTATTAGCTCTATAAGCTGCGTAGCCATATGTATCCATGCCTTCCTCGACGCTCACACTTCCATACCACTTGTGGAAAGAGTAGCAAGACCAGCTCTGTACGATTTTAAGGATGAGACTGGCGTGCGCGCAGTTATTTTCCGGATGGCTGCAACCTTTGCAGCAGCAAGCATGATTTAGTGCGTTTTGGTGAATGAAGTTGCGTCGCCGGACAAATATTAAAGAGTTTATGTCGAAAATTAAACAAACAGCATGAACAAGCGAGTCACATCACCATTCTAAAGTTTGCCTTTCCAGTGTGATGGTCCACAAACAAAAGGCAACTCATTGAAATGAACATCTTGCCACACAAGAGGTAACAAGGAGTAAATCAAGGCAATAAGTGCAATATGCTTTATGAAGCGCAGCATACCAGGGAAAATATTGATATATTTATATTTCTATATATTTTTTTAATAATCTGTATCGCTTCAGTTGGCACGTTTATAACCAAAAAAATCGTGACCGTGTCCGAAAGGATGAAGCAGAAGCAGAAGCGAAGAACAAGAGGAAGGCCGAAGAGACATTAGCTGCAGTAAGACTTACTTCCACTGCCCATTAGCTATTTTCGTGAATGGAGCTATTTCAAGCCCGGAGCTGTATGATCTAACCCTTCGCGATCAAAAATCACCATAAGGATAGAGAATATAAGCTAAAGGTGCTAAGGGATCGAGCGAAGCGCCGGGTGCTCTCTAGCAATGACACTGAAATCCTTGACGAAGGGCAACCTAACTTGCTAGAAAAAAGAGACTCGAAGTCCATATCTAAGGATTCAAGAGCTCAACATGTCAACTTCTGGGCCGATTTAGAAGGGCGAGTAAGTGTATTACACAGTAATTATGTATAAAACATAGTTTTCTTTTCTTTTCTTTTCTTTTTTTTTGCTATTAAGCACCTCTTTGATTTTATCCATAATTCATTTAGGAGGCGGGCTATAATAACAAAGGAAATGAAGAGTATGAAGCAGAGAAAAAAGCAAAACTAAATAAGTTTGAACGAAAGTCGGGCATGTTTCTTGATAATGTCAAAGGTATTTTTTTTTTTTTTTTTTTTTTTTTTTAAAAAAAAATGCGTAGATAAAGATGCCGCTTTTAAGATACCAATTTGCCATATAAATACATAAATAGGAAAAGAACCATGGTTGCTTCCTACGTATTCTCAAGGGGACATCAGCAAAAAGTAAAGATCGAAAGTTTATTTCTCTGATATGGTGCCTGATCATTACCATAAAACTGATTCATAACACTAATATGGATGTATTTTACGATGTTATTTTTTTTTAAAGAGATCGAGACCATAATTTCAGCAAAGTTCGAGAGGATCCTATGAGTGCAATGAAATCAATGCTGGGAAAGCGAGACGAGCAACGTCTGAAGAAGTACAAGTCATCATCGTCACCGCATAAGTCAGAAACGAAGCGTTTACAGAAAGGAGACGAGCCATTGCAGCCAGTAAATACCCATCGTTTTGTTATATCCTTATCGAGGCTATCTCTTGGTCCTCTCATTCATTAGATTGTATTCTTCTCTTAACCATTAGGTCCACAAAGAGAAAGAGCTGAGCACGATCGAGAAACTGAGGAAGGAGCGTTTGGAAAGAGAACAAGCAGAGCAAACAAAAGTTCACAAACTATTGAATCCAGACTATGTAGACCCACAAAAAAGCCATGGATCTGTCGGTGCATATAGCCAACAGTTTAATCCAGAGGCAACCAACCTTGCACACTCATCCTCTGTTTCCATTAAACGGCAAGAGCGCAATCATGATCACTATCATGGTCGAGCGTATAGTAATAACGGAAGCGGTGGAGGCCTGAGGCATGACGAATATCCTCCAAGGGATATCCGCGATCGCTATTCACGCCCACGTCGGTATTAGAGTTATGTTGTAGCATAGTTGCGCCCTTCTAGCAGGACCTTTTGTAAAATATAGTCGTTTATTAATAAATATATAAAAATGCCTACCACTCCAAGTCAGAGACAGGACAGGCATTTAGAGTTTCGTCAGGGTGCGCGATACACTGTCCGTTCTTGACTAGATCGAAACCCCAGTAGTGCACACCACATCGAAGTGTCATGTCTGCACGTAAAACTCCCTAGAAGAAACACATGGTTACATTTAGTTGAGCAAAAAATGTATCAAAGTTAAAATGCAAAAAAAAAAAAAAAAAAAAAAAAAGAAACATACCCACTTGAGGAGATCTGCGTTAGCATGCGGGCAGTATCGATCAAGATCGAATGTTTTTGACTTCGTTTGGATACGGAGTCGACGGGGCGAATTAATATGAACGTAAAAACCTGGGCGATGTGTGCTCTTGAGACCCTTGGCCCTCAGCGAAGCTTCCTCAGGGCTTAGATCTTCCTCTATCTTCACGGACTGAGAGGCATTCTTTGTGTGCTCAACCTCATTTGTATTACTTTTATCGATTGTGTTCGATTCTGATAATTCAGACGCTGGATTGACCGAGAGAGTTGCAAAGGATTCTGAAACATTATCAATGGGTTCGGGTGTCGAGGATGGCGGTACTCCTACTTCTGTTCTTTCTTCTGTGTTCTCTTCTCCTTTTGTTATTGAATGATAGCTGCTGTTTGGAGATGTAGATGTTACTGTTGTTACCGCCAGACCTGAATTGACTTGCTGTGCTTGAGAGGATTGGCCTTCATTTGATGATATCATTTTTTTTTCCTTTTTTTTTATTCACTGGGAGTGGGGGTTGGAGGAACGAATTGGTGCAAGAAAAAGGAAAACAGAAGGCAACAAGAATTAATCGAGGCTCTGAGAGTGTGAATACGTAGATAAATTGCACAAGAGGAAGAGAGAGAAAAAAGAATAAAGACACAGTTCAGAGGAAAGTTTTTGTTTTTAAAATACTGGAACATCATGTGTAGCTAATATCCCACGCTCCCATTCAGATATAATCTAAATTTAAATTAAAATTTTGGTGTGCTCGGTCCTGACATTCCTTCAGAAAAATAGAGTGAGCGGTCAGGGATATCCATCTAATCCTTATTGTCTAGTTGCTTTCGAGGAAGGAGTATAAGCTTATGAAATACAGCTTGGTGAGAAGAGATATAAAAGCTGGAGACCCATCCAATGTGCATCAGTAGCCTCTGTAGAGGTCTAACTCTATGATTTCCCATCAATATTGCCGATTTCATTCTTTTGTACCATCTCTGCTCTCTATCCAACAGCCACTCCCTTCCTTGCCTTTTAAATCTAGCTGGTCAATGTTACCCTCAGTTTGTTATTACTGCTCACAGCAGGAATGTCCACTAAAAAAAAAAAAAAAAGAGCTTTATGCAACAATTCTGGCACGCAGCTAACACCTACTGCCGAGAATTTTTGTAGACGGATGTGCTGGCCAAGTGCATAATATACTGTCCTATACTCAATGTCGTTGCGTGACCCGTACATTTCCAAACCTCACCAACTCTGTCAGGATTTCATCCCACGCGTACTTGACATCGTTCCCGCTCCACTGGCTTGACTTCTGTATGGGTTCGATCACTCTCTGAAATTGTCACTCCTGGTTTGAGGCGATTATCTTTTCCAAATATTCAGATTTTGAACTCGCTCAGGGTTGAGGATACAAAAATAAATAATTCGAATAGTTCTATCCTGGAGTTCCTCACCCAAAATACTAGACATGGATACCAGCAACAAACTAACGGGCGGATCAGAAGCTCAACTGTGTTCTTCCGCCGTGAATATCAGTCTGGCTTTGGCAAGACGGCCCTCGAGGCATTGGCCTATCACTACTTTAGTTTATGAGCGTATTGTTTCTTGTGTAGAATCCAGATGGCATTATCTGTTGATCTGTACGGTTTTTAAAGTTAGTCCAGAAATTCAGGGGCAAAAGATTAGAGAGGATGGATACAGGAGACGAAAATAAGCAGAACTTACAAATTTTTTGTGGGTGTGCCGGCACCCAAATACTTGTGTCTAGCGTCGTGCGCGCTTTGCAGCCGGAGCAGGCGACTCTTCCGTGGGCTTGTACTTTGCAGGCCTCTCTTGTCTCTCAATTTGAGCAAGACCGATTCTTGCGATGTTTTCCACCCCTACTGCGTCACGGTCGAAGAATACCTTACATGCCCGGCAATATTTAGAGCGAGGGTACACCGTCTCTAAAAAGCTATCACAGAGGGGTCGGGGACAGCGGGCGTTGGTGTAAAATTCGTGCGCTCCTACAGTGAAGTGTCCTCGCGCTTTGACCTAAGTGTTTCAAATGGCAGTCGTTTATTAGCAAGGGTTCTATGGCTTTCCAGCTTTTCTTACTTTTTTAAAAAAAAAGCCATACCTGTGTGACAAGATGTCTCGTTATAGCAGTGTGCTTGCTGGGAACTCCTTTACTACTTTCAAAGGACCCTAGGCCGACGACAAGCACTCCTTTATCCCCAAGCATCTTCAACACTCGCTGTACCGCGTAGTCGAACGTAGCTCGTTGAGCCTTTCGTAGGTCCCATTTTTTTTTCAGATGCCATCTGGATTCGTAGAACTCTTGAAGCACATCCAAATTCGTTGATCCTGTCTGTGTCTGAGACTCCCCGTTCATCCATTGAAAGTACTCATTATACGTATCCCTTCCAAACACAGGGATGGCGCTCTCAACCTCAATCATTGCTTTTTCACGCTTCCTTTTGTTCTACAGGTAATTGAAGCGGAGGACAGGGAGGTACAAGAACCTGCTTCTCACCTTTACCGTTTGCCGCAAGTTAGGGTTGTGAGGGTCCAGCGAGGAAAACGTAAGGGCATTAACAATACCAGGATCACATCCGACGATAGTTGTGGTGTTTGCGGATGGGCATCGCCCTGGTTTGTTGAATGTGAGCTCAACGTTTTCAAGCAGCTTGGAGCTCCTCTTCCAGTTTATGTTTGCGTAGTCTTCATCTGTTAGGTCTTCACCGGCCGCCTTTGAGCACGTCGTGTTGAGAAATCCCTGAGAAAGCTCCAGTTTTTGGCTGGGGCCTTCTTCATCTACGTCAGACTGCTGCTGTCTCTTCGTCTGGGTTGTGTCATAGGCAAGTAGATTCAGAACTAGACCGTTGGTAGAAATCGTTCCTTTGAGTTTGAACCGAGTTAGATCTTTGTCCTGTGACTGCAGGGATACTTTGTCTTGATATCCACGAACCATGCGATCACCTCCAATGTCACAAAAGAGAGCCTGTATCAAAACCCCTTTTGTTCCCTGTACACACTCATACATTGCAGTCTTGGAAGATTATTGAGAGGCAGAATACGCTCCAGCAGCTGCTTGGTATCTTCGTTCGCCCAGAGGATGTCAACTAGGGCGTGTTCAGACAGATACACATACCCGGGTGACCAGGGGGCGTAGGAAAGTCTGAGTATTTTTTCACTTTTTTGTTCTCCCGCAAAAAAAACTCAATGTCGCTCATATCTTCGTTTGTTTTCTCGACATCAAACTAAGAAAAAAAAAAAAAAAAAAAAAAAAGGTGTGAATAAAGAGCATTTGATTGCAGAATATGCATGAAAATACCCTACACAAGCTATACCATTGCGTTCCTGTAGTGCTGCCTTAATGATGTCTGTACTTGGCCCATTAGTAAGTCTGACGCTCTTGGAAATGTGATCTTTTTGGGATCAAAGCCTTGGACGTCCCCCAATGTGATGTCTATTCCTTTATTGGGGAAAGTTCAGTGGTGGCCTTGAAATGTTCATAAGCGAGGTGATGTGGGCGTTTCTACCGCCTTTCCTTGTTTTTTTGCCCTCGCGTAAGCTGAATTGGGGCCACCTTGACCACTCAAAAGAAGGGTGGCGAGACGGAAGGAATAATCATTGCTATCCAAGACCTCGTCCAGTGCCTTTTTCCTCGACTTTGCTGCCCCTGGTAACCGCATGATCCTCTCAATGTCCAAGGCAATC